GCGCCCGCAGGGCAGGGTCTGCGGCCTGTGCGGGAACTTCGACGACAACGCCATCAACGACTTCACCACGCGGAGCCAGTCCGTGGCGGGAAACGCCCTGGAGTTCGGGAACAGCTGGAAGTTCTCCCCGAACTGCCCGGACGCTCCGGCGCCCAAGGACCCCTGCACCGCCAACCCGTACCGCAAGTCCTGGGCGCAGAAGCAGTGCAGCATCATCAACGGCGCCACCTTCGCCGCCTGCCATGCCCACGTACGGCCGCCGGGCTGGGCAGGGGGCTTCTCTGGGCCAAGGGGATGCACAGCGACTCCTGGAAGCCCCCATAGGGAGAAGGGGGTTGGGGGGCACGGCCGTGCGCCAAGGGTGTGGGCAGTTGGGCCTCAGGGGCTGGTGTGGCCACGTGGGGTGGGGCCCCGGGGTGGTTTGGGGGCCGTGGGGAGCGTCACCTCTGGAGACTGAGGGAGCCTGAGGCCTGAGTCAGGGCCGCCAACCACCCAGGCCACCCGTCTGTTCCCCCGAGCTCCAGCGGGAACTGCCCAGGTTGACACGCCGGCGTGGCCCCAACCCCAGAGCCACGTGGCGCAGGGTCCCTGGAGCCTGAAGCCCCGTCTCACTCAGGTGGAGCCGGACAAGTACTACGAGGCCTGTGTGAGCGACGCGTGCGCCTGCGACTCGGGGGGCGACTGCGAGTGTTTCTGCACGGCCGTGGCCGCCTACGCCCAGGCCTGCCACCAAGTGGGCCTCTGCGTGTCCTGGAGGACCCCGGACGTCTGCCGTGAGTGCACAGGGGCTGCGGGGCCAAGGCAGGAAAGGCTGATGTGCCCGGGAACAAAATACAGAGGAGAGGTGGTAGAACATTCTGGAAGGAGGTCAGCAGAGGGCCCCAGCCCAGCCCAGGCGGAGCCAGGGGAGCGGGGCATAGCTGGGAGTGCCTCTGGCTGGAGACCCCAGCCTGATGGCGGCCCTGGGGCACCCCTCAGAGGCCAGGGGACCCCGCCCCGTCATGCTGGCTGAGGACACAGGGTGGGGAACGGCGGTGGACCGTGCGGGGCGCGGGGGCTGAGCCCGCCTGGGCTGGGGCCTGGCCCGCTGAGCCGCCTCCCTCCCGCAGCGCTCTTCTGCGACTACTACAACCCCGAGGGGCTGTGCGAGTGGCACTACCAGCCCTGCGGGGCCCCCTGCATGCGCACCTGCCGGAACCCGCGCGGAGACTGCCCGCACGACGTCCGCGGCCTCGAAGGTGGGCTCGTGCAGCCTGGCAGGGCCGTCCTGGGTCCGGGGCCTCTGGCCAGGCCTGACTTTCCAGTGGCCTCTCCACGGGGCTGCCGTGGGGACTCCCGGGGTGGGGCTGCTGGTCTGGGTGGGACTCGGAGACTTGGGCCTCTCTGGTGCAGGCTGCTACCCGAGCTGCCCGGCGGAGGCTCCCATCTTTGACGAGGACGAGATGCAGTGTGTGGCCGAGTGCCCGGCCCCGCCCCAGCCACCACCCTGCCGCGTCCACGGGAAGTCGTACGAGCCCGGAGCGCCAGTGCCCTCAGACAAGAACTGCCACTCCTGGTGAGCGGCCCGGCCAGAGGGATGTGGGGGGATTCAGGCCCACAGCCTGGGTATCTGGGGGGTGCTGGGGGGTGTCCACAGCCTGGGTATTTGGGGGTGCTGGGGGTGTCCACAGCCTGGGTTTCAGGGGGTGCTGGGGGTGTCCACAGCCTGGGTATCTGGGGGGTGCTGGGGGTGTCCACAGCCTGGGTATTTGGGGGGTGCTGGGGGTGTCCACAGCCTGGGTTTCAGGGGGTGCTGGGGGTGTCCACAGCCTGGGTATTTGGGGGGTGCTGGGGGTGTCCACAGCCTGGGTTTCAGGGTCCAGGGGCTGCAAGACCGGGGACCTCCCTGTTGCTGGAGTCCATGCTGTGGACAGGTGTCCGTGACTTGAGTTTTGCAGGGGCCAGGACCTGCCTCCCCCCGTCCTGAGGCCCAGGGGGGCTGAGCACAGCGGAGGGCTGTAGGGTACAGGGACAGGCAACAGGTGGGGCAGTGGGGAAGCTGACGGAGACAGCCCCAGAGACTCCACGGGGGCACACCCAGCAGTCACGTGGGGCACTGCTCAGAGGGAGTGGGAGGGGGTGACCAGGTGAGTGCAGCCTGCGGGGCCGCGTGGGGCCTGTGTCCACCAGCTGGGGATGCGATGTGGCCGGGACACCCTGTGGACACCCCTGCGGCAGCGGCTCCCGCCCGGCCCTGCGTGGTGGGATGCCCAGGGGCGGGTGCCGGCCCCACACGCCCAGCGCCCTCCCTCCTCTCCCCAGCGTCTGCAGCGCGAGCGGCGTGCAGTGCAGCTACAACGCCAGTGGTGAGCGGCCGCAGCCTCTTGGGGCCGGGGGCTGGGGGTCTCTGCCTGTGCCCAGCCCCTAACAGGCCGCTCTGCCCCACAGCCTGCATCTGCACCTACGACAGGCGGCACTTCCGTCCCGGCGACATCATCTACCACACAACGGACGGCATGGGCGGGTGCATCTCCGCCCACTGCGGGGCCAACGGCACCATCGACAGGAGGGTCTATGGCTGCAGCTCCAGCAGCGCCCCGCCCCCGACCACCTTCTCCTTCTCCACGCTCCCACGGGGTGAGAGCGCCACTGCCGGGAGAGGGCTCTGGCCTCGGGGGCTGTCCCTCTGCCCGCTGACGGGCACAGCTCTTGCCGGGCGCCAGGCTTGTGCCCAGCTCTGGGCACCAGTGGCGGCCCTTGAAGTTCGGGAAGGGCCCGGGAGTGGGGCGCTGGGCAGAGGGACGGCCTGTCCCTGCCCGCCAGTCGCCCGCAGTGGGAGGGCGCCTGCCTCCGAGGCAGCCCACGGGCCTGGCGTCAGCGGGAGCTCTGGGGCAGCCACAGGCCAGCCTTGGAGGGCGGCGGGAAGCTCTCACCGTCCGCTGCCCCCCACGTCCTCACCCACATCTGGGAGAGACGTCTTGGGGCCCCTGAGACATCGTCTGAGCTTCTCTGAGAGGGACGCACCGGCTCTCAGGGGCACAGACGTGTGGGTTCTGCTTAGGGCATGGTCCGGGGAGTTGGCTTCCCTTAAACAAGGTCAACTTACCTGTTTGTCAAACCTGCCTGGGGCCAGGCAGGAGCTGAGCAGCTGCCCTGGGTGGAGACAGGCAAGCAGGCTAGCCCTGGGCCAGTGACGGGGGTGGCAGGGTGGGCAGGGGCCAGGTGCTGCCGCTCGAGCACGGGCCCCTGACACTCAGCCTGGCACTGTCTCTTCTGCCCACAGTCGTGAGCTCAACGCCAACCGCCAGCACCAGCCCCAGTCCTGCCCCGAGCACGGCGCACGCTGGTCCCCTGAGCAGTACCCAGTCCATAGCCACGGGCACATCATCCAGGATGGCACCTTCCTCAGCCTCTGTGCCACCCCACCATCGCTGCGGGGAGGAGTGCCTGTGGTCACCGTGGCTGGACGTCAGCCGTCCTGGACGGGGCATCGACAGCGGAGACTTCGACACGCTGGACAACCTCCGCGCCCATGGGCACCAGGTGTGCCGAGCGCCCAGGGAGGTGCAGTGCCGGGCGGAGGACGCCCCCGAGGTGCCGCTGCACGTCCTGGGGCAGCGGGTGGACTGCAGCCTGGCGCGGGGGCTGACCTGTCACAACAGGGACCAGGCATCCGGGCTCTGTGACAACTACCAGATCAGGGTCTTGTGCTGCACGCCCCTGGCCTGCCCCACCTCCCACGGCCCCACCCAGACCACACCCCCGGCGGCCTCCAGGACAGCTGCAACCCAGGCCCCGGGCTCCCCTGCCCCCAGCAACACAACCGGCCCGGCCACGCTCTCCACGGCTGCCACAGCAGCGACCACAGCCAGCTCCATGCCTGCCCCGGGCACCAGCACACCCTCGAGAACAGCCGTCCTGACCTCCAGCCTGACACCGGGGCTCACAGCCCTAACAACACCTTCTGGGTCACCCGTGGTCCCTGGGACCTCAGGGGCCACGAGTGAGCCGCCCTCCCCTGAGCCCAGCAAGGCCTGCCATCGGGAGGTCTGCAGCTGGACCCAGTGGATTGACGGCAGCTACCCTGGCCCCGGACGCAACAGTGGAGATTTTGACACTTTCCAGAATTTGAGAAAAAAAGGATACAAATTCTGCGACAGGCCCAGGAGCGTGGAGTGCAGGGCGGAGAGCTTCCCGGACACGCCCCTGGCGGAGCTCGGCCAGAACGTGACCTGCAACGCCAGGGAGGGGCTGCTCTGCCTGAACAAAGACCAGCTGCCACCCATCTGCTACAACTACGAGATCCGCATCCAGTGCTGCCGGCTGGAGGACGTGTGCACCCACGGGACCACCGTGCCCGGGACCTCGGCCACTGCATGGGCCACGTCACGTGAAACCAGTGCCCAAACGCAGACAACGGTGTCAACAGCAGTCCCCTCGACCCCCACAGAGCACACGGCAGTGAGCTCCGCAATGGTGCCCACGCCAGCCAGGACCAGGCACAGCACCCACGCGGTGACTGCACCCGTGACCAGGGACTGCCAGCCCCGGTGCGCGTGGACCAAGTGGTTCGACGTGGACTATCCGGCCCCCGGGCCCCACGGTGGAGACGTCGAAACCTACAACCACATCATCAGCAGAGGGGAGAGGATCTGCCACCGGCCCGAGGACATCGCCAAGCTCGAGTGCCGTGCAGAGAACCATCCCGACGTGGGCCTCGAGAGCCTGGGCCAGGTGGTGCAGTGCAGCCGCGACGTGGGCCTGGTGTGCAGGAACCGGGACCAAGCGGGAGCCCACAAGCTGTGCCTCAACTACCAGGTGCGCGTGCTGTGCTGCCGGACGCCTGACGGCTGCCCCCTGACCACCGTCCCTGTCACAGTGCTCAGCACTCCAAGTG